TATAACAAGGTTTCATGCCTCTCTTTTTGGCATGTCTGGTGCCACAGACTCCCCAGGAACCGTATTTCATTCAGATGTCTGCTTCTTAATGAGCTGATCTTCAGAGGAACAGCTATTTACTGATTCATTGCTGGGTTACACCTTTAGCACATGGTTTTCTCTCACAATGGTTCAGGAAATAGAAAACTCACTGCATCAGGCAACTCAAACCCACAAGCAATTGCAAGCACACTCATACAGCCAACACTGGGAATATGAGATTCCTTCACTTAGCTGCAGAAATTATTTCAAAATGGAATAATCCCTTCCAGTGGCTTAATCACTAATTTGGGACTCTAGGGTACATTGGAAAATATAGGGTATGTTAGAAAATATTCTGTACCATTAAACAATACTGTCTTAAACATCAGAATATACAAAAGCGATGAAAGTGAATTAAACACGACTGTGTCCACTTCATGCCTGGTGGCTGTATCTACTTCACAGCTTTTAATTTTTTCAGGCTTCCACCTTTGAATAGGAGGAGCCCACCATGTACGTGCCAATTGTTAAAATACATTTTCTTCACCCATTCGTTCTGTTCAAACACTTGCAGTTGTGTAAATGTTCAAAACATTCCTTTAGTGAATTATGGCTGTATGAGGAAGTCTGGGACAAAAGAGAAAGAAGATACTTTATTAGTTGACTTCTCCCTGTCGTTTATGTCTTCTAACTTTCTGAAGTTTGACTGTTTTCTTATCCAGAATATTCCCTTGAACACCAGCTGTCTCTAATTTACCATGTTGACAAAATAACTGAAAGATTGCCATGTTAGATAGGCATCAGCAATTAATAAATCAATCTAAAAATATTTGATTTCCTCAATATCTTTTCACTAAATTTGCTTCTTGAAGCAAAAATTAACACAGTTGAAGAAAGTATTGAGCTAGCTATATATGAAAGGTACGCATGAGAGTGTTAACTCTTGGATATAGTTATTCAGCATTGACCATCATTATTTCATCATGTCAGCAGAAAATAGGATGCATTTCATTTGGGAATTAGTACGCTTAGCTGGAAGGAACACTTTTCTAAATGTCATTCATTGATTAGTGAACTCGAGCTAGGTTACAGTACAAAGTCAGATAGATCTGTTTAAATCTAGGCGGTCTCTACTGATTTCACTGAAGTTACTTGAATTTAATTCACAGTAATTATAACTGGAAATGGTCTATTAATGAACAGAGTGTACTACATGTAGCACCGTTAAAAGGTAACGTAAGAAAAGTTTGGCTTGACACAGAATATATCCACAGACTTGTGAAAATAACACATTTGAATAGGCAAATGCTCTTCTGCAACACGATTCTAAATTAGTAAAACATGAATCTAAAGTCATAATCGGTGTCATTTTTCCAGATGAAGGAGAAGGATTTAGGATTAATGAAAAGATGGGTTAGTTTTGTCTCCATCATCGAACTACAAAAATAAAAAATTAAAAAGACAGAGGAGAGAGATATTTTACTGAACCACAGCTACTCAGAAATCTTCCTGTCCTCTTTCCTCCCAGCCTTTTCTATTCTTTTCAGGGCCATTTGGACAAACATCACTCAGTCTATTTACTTTAATCTTTTTTTTGCTGATGTTCTGTGGGTTTCCAGTTTATTTCTGCATAACCTGAAAAATTCATATTTGCATCACAAGCTGACCAAAATGTTCTTCAATTTTTTCCCAGGAGCTTTAATTTGTTCTCTGAGTGGGCACCACTGCATTGCTACACTGAAGGGCTTGTCAACACTGCCATTATAGATGTCTAATATTGCAGGATATGATAAACCAGCTGACTTAATTGTGTAGAGCTACAATTTGTTTTACAAGATTTCGGGTATTTAACATGCTTACATTGAAATAACTTGTCTTTTTTTTTTTTTTTTTCCTTAAACATGGTGAAAAAGAAAAAAAAAAAAAAAAGCAAATCACAGCAAAGTCAAAACTTGCTCAGTTGCTTCTTGTCAAACTAGCCATTCATTCCCATCCATATGTTGCCCTTCTCAGCTACCAGTTTTTAGACTTCAGTGTCTGTCACTTCTAGAGCCTTCTAGGGGAACTAAGTAACCAGCTGATTTCTTGGTAATGTCTTTCCTTTTCTCACTTTTAATCTTCCTGAGACTTTGAGGACTATAATCTCAAAATTGGAGATGATAAATTTTTTAATGACTTATTAGAACATACAAGTTTTACAAACAAGCTATTGCAGAACACCCACTGCTTCAGCTGGGTACCACGCACCACCCACGTGTGGCCCACACGTGGCATCTGTCTCCATGAGTAGGTACTCTCGATACTAAATGGATACCAGTGTATCTAGCCCTAGCATGTCTTCTACCAGTGGCTGGAGAAAGCACACATTAGCTTCTTGTCAGCAATGCTGTTGCCACTGCCAGGAGTTCTCCCTTCCTCCTAGTGAAGGTAAGAAAGGTACTCTTCATACTTGTGAGGCCTTCAGAAGTTTTTGTAGCATTTAGATTAGGTTCAGATAAAACTCTGGCTTTCGGAGTATTTATGTATGAAAAATCTTTGAACTTGTTGAAAATTGTCAACAATATCTTCTGCATTTGTTCAGTCCAATGGGATTTTAAAAATTCAGATTGGAGCAGCTGAGGGTGAGAGAAAGTTCACCCCTTATCGGTCATCCAAATTTGCTGAGGCAGTTTTATGAAAGCAGTGAAGTGAATGCAGAAACTAAAACCATGGACCACTTGATAATGCTCTAAGCCAAAAACAAAACAGAAAAAAGAACAGGCATTGCTACTATAGCTTACATCATCTGTAACTTAAATAAAAGGGAACAGGATCGAAACAGAGTGTGTGGGTGAGGCAGGCAGACACATGGCGTTGGTGATACAAAGCCAAACATGAAACCCTTTCTTCCAAATTGAAATTCAGGGAATTGTCAACAAGTCCTCATCCACATGGAATAAGTGAAAATGTGATTGTGAGGGGCCTAATGATAATCCTAGGACAAATGCTGCTCTCCTTCAGCCTGGCGCCAATTCAGAAATCTGCTGGCTGCACAGGGACTGCTTTGCATTGCCGTTCAATAGGGCTGGAGCAGAGTTTTGCCCTGTATCATAACACGTTTATCCCCCATGCGAATGTATGCATCTGTTTTTGTATTCAAGTTTTTTCTTATGCAGTTCAATAGTTTCTTGCTAGTAGCCTCAGGGATATTTAAATGAGATGAACCCTTTTACCTACAGGACCATAAAAAGAGAATAGCTAACAAGGGGCTATGAGGTGTTACAGCAGAGGTGATGAGGTGCCTTTATGGGACCTCTGCAAAGTGCTTGACACTGTGAGTACAACAGGCAGAATTCGTCTTCCACCAGTGTCTCCAGGAAGATGGAAAAATGAATCTTTTCCCAACCGTCACTCCTCTGCGCACGTGTGCACAGGAAATCTTGAGGCACCATCTGCGGCATGTTAAATGCTCTGGGCTCAGCCAATGTTCCCAATTCCCATCTGAAAATGCATGGAAATCCACTGCTGGCAAACCTGAGGCTGTCAGGGATTTAAGTCATTACACTCAGCCATATTTATATTCTATTAATGATAGATCAGTCTTAATACCATCAAGCTCCACCACTAGTTGCGGTTACAGTCTATGTGATACAACGACATCGACTGCTATACACTGTATATGGAAATTTCTCACCAGTGGGAGAGCATGGACAAATTCTTCACAGCCACCTTGTATAACTGATGGATGTATTAGCCTCTTTTCTTGCCAACAAGATCATAGGAACTTGGCTTCCAGACTCTTGAAATTTGGCTCGGCCAAATCATTTAGCATTGAAATCTCGGTAAGCAGCACTGTGCTGATTTGCTGTTTAATCATTATCCAAACTACCCACCAGGCTGTTACAGACAGCTCACATCCAGTGCCCTGCCTCGAGGAAAAAAGATCCAGCATCACCAGTCACTGCTCCTTGCGTCGGACTGGCAAGATGAGCCAGGCAAACATGATTCTGTCTGTATTTCACTTTTTAAAATTAGTCAGGATCTATTCCTCTACATTAAAGCATATTTCAGTATTTCCTGAGGTCAAATGGAGAATACCAAGTTTGCTCTTTTCAAATCAGTAATCTGAAAAAAAGTTAGAAGAATGAATAAATACTTCAGAAGACAAATTTTATATGGATGTGTAAGCTGCAATTTCTATGTGGATTTTTAAGTTAAAAGTCTGGTTAAAGGCAAATTTCTTAGACCCTCCCTCCTGCTTTAGCAATTAGAGGAATATTTCGTAAAGTTTAGATCTACAATTCAAAAAGCAACTTTTCAGCTTACTCTGCACACCCATCTCCTCCAGCTTTAGAGTCCAAAACTGGAGGGATTCTTCCACTCTAAGGCTACAATATTAAAAATAAGTGTTCCTAAGCCTGACCAGGAGACATGCCTAGCTTCTGACCAGAGCATTCCCAGAGGCTTCCCTGAGAAAAGATCTCTGAAGAGTTTCACCTGGCAGACAATTTTGGGAAGTACGCACATTTTCCATAGATCACCTCAAAGTCATAAAAGAAGAAATGCTGTTTGCTAGCTGAAGCATTAGCTGTTACCAAGAAAATGATTCAGAGGGTGCAATGTAGAGAATGAGAGGTTTAACATGATGCTTGAGTGCCTAAGGATGACATGGGAAACATGGGTCAGTTGGCAATAAATACCATCTACTAGTATTACGTACTATCCCATATTCCCCAGATTGCCGTCACAGAGTTGCATTCACTCAGGGCTTTGTTTCAGAGATACCAAAATATGAGTAGGGGGTCTCCAGAGGTTTTACACAGATGAAGTTTTACTGTATCAGCCCTAAGCAATCAGCTCTCATCATCTGCCTATGATCTGTGGGAAGGGGTTTTTGGACCTCATTTGGCAGTTTCTACCCTAGGAAAGGACTGGATTGATACTATCACAATACAAATAATGAATTATAATCACCATAGGCATCATTTTGTTTGCTATAGATGGAGGCAAGATAGAAACGGGAATATTTCACTCAGCCTTATTTTGGAATTCCAAAGACTGTTGGGAAAAATCACATCATCCAAGGTCAGACTTTCTTTTACTACAGTAATTTTAAATTAAAAAGGAAACATTTTAAAAATATAAATTAAATTATAATATTTTTAAAAATAAAAAACTTAGACCTTTAAAGGGATACTTGTAGTAACAGGACAATTAGTAACAGTACATGGTGGAGCGTATGGCTAAAACTCTATTACAGCTTTTTTTCAGAGCTCTTCTGTGAACATCGGTTATGGTACTGTAGTTAAAGATAAACTTCTACTGTGATCAGGGCTTTCACATCCTCTGAATTATGGCCCCAACCTTCTCAGATGAGCAACAAGGATAATAACTTTACACGCTCCCACAATTTGCTGTATGCTATTTTACCCAGCATTTATAAAACACTTTCATAATTTATGATAAAAATGTATTTATATATTTTCTCTGAAGTGTAAGAGGAAAAAAAAAATAGATTCACTAGCATGGGATGCTTGTTGAATAAATAGTAGGAATCTGAAAAATAGTGGCTAAAGGTCTTCTGAGAGAGGGGCTTTGCGTGTGCAGAAACTAATGCCAGGTTTCCAACAGTAACAAACTGCGATGACCAGTTCTCTTCTGTGTTTCCTGATTTGTTTTGTAAAAATCTGTTCACATTAAACAAATGTTAACAGATTATTAAGCAAAATAAAAGGAAAAAAAAAAAGGCAATACAAAATACATTAAGATGGAAACATTAAAAAAGAACAATAACAACCTGTAAGTGACTGTTAGCAGTTTTGCCTGGCAGTATAGGTGTTGAGGGTGCCAACCTAAGGTGAAAATTGTATTTATAGGCACAGCAGATCAGCATTGGACCTATAGGCATTATCCAGGATGGTGTCAGAGTTGCAGTAGATCTATTACTCCAATCGGTTTAGTTGCACTATCTTGATTAGGAGCTGAGTTTTCATTGCTGCCACAAGCCTGTATGTGAAATGAAACTTGAATTTTGACTAGAATGTGTGTTGGACAGACGCTATCTCAGCACCACTGTGTGTTTCACCAAACTGCACATTCATAACTCCAACATTGAGAAAGACAGACAAAAGACCATGGAAAAAAGTTCTACTTCTTCCCTGAAGTGATCATAAACACATCTAAGAGCACAATATACCAAGCATTTGTATTATGGTGTTTGAAACTATGTATTGTATTTCCCAAAGATAACCCAACAGTTAATTTTCTGTTTTAGTTAAGCTTTTCCTCAGCATCAGTTGCTACTAAATAAGTCCCTGTCATTTTTCAAGGGCATAACTTGCAACAAGACAGCAATAACAATTACATATTGTTTTCAAATAAGATGCCATTTTCCTTTCTGGCAGGCAGCAATGGGGTTTTAATGTGTAACATTTGTTTAATAAAACTCACAGATGCTTCCTTGACAATTGCAAAGGAAGAAAAGATGAGAAAACAAACCCAAAGAAAAGACAGAAAATATAAAGAACAAATGAAAGATTCAGCTTCCATCACAACTATTCATCTTATGTCCCAGACTAATTATGCACATTTTGGCTGGATCAGACATTTCTGGTGAACCTGTGCATAGCAGGGAGGTGCAGTGATTTGAGGCCCTGCTTTGCTGAAGCATTGCCTTGATTTCCAACGAAGAAATATTGTGTGCTACCAGGAGGCCCCACCTTCACAAAGGTCACAGCATTTTGGCATTTGTATTCTTATGAGGCAATTCAGCTGAGCAGGACAGATTTTTCTGCTGATTACACATGGCTCCTGTATCTCCAAGGTCTGCCTACACTTTTTGGTTAATAGTGAATTGCAGTGGACATTTCTTCCTTTGGAGCAAGAGATAACATATGTAAATTTTCACTGATTGACATTTTTTTGGTGATAAACTGAAAAAAAAAATCATTCTGATCTTAAAACCAAAACAAACAAAAAGAAACCCCACTTCTTTGCAATGAGAACCCTTTAATATTATGGTAATGGATACACTACAGAAAGCAGGACCACCTCCAGCTGAGAGTCCTGAGCCCTTTCAAATACAAGAGGCTAATCTCTATTATTATCTCTTCAACTATAAAAGGATTTGGGGCTGAGAGAGGAATCTTCCTCAGGTCATCCAGCTGCAGAGCTCTAGTGAGATCTTGGGTCTCCCACCTTGTGTAGTGCCCCAGCCACTGGCTAATCAAACGCCCACTCTGAATCATGATGGAAAATACTGTAAGAGAATTACCATGAAAGTGGGGCCAGTCAAGTAAAAGCAAAAATCATAGGGGATAAGCTTTCCAAAATATAAAAATAACAAAATATAAATATAGAAGACAAATATAAATGGCACAAATGTAATTCCGGTAGATGAAGTGCACTGTGAAGTTGCAATAGTCTAACCTGAACTAATCGAAAAGCCAACATCTACAGAAGAGCCAGGACAGTAGCTATGGCCATTGCTTTCTCCATGTCTATTTTCTGAGTCTCCAGTATATTTGGTGAGCAGCAATAGGCAATATTTTTCCTGAACAGACCCAAACCACGAGCCTTTGAAAACAGTCCATCAGCTCTGCCTCATGGCTAGAGCCAGAGAGCAAGAGACTGGTGACTATGAATGCCTCAGTCTAAGCAGTTGGACAAAACCCAGGGTCTCCATGTATTCTGTTACAAAGAAAAATTGGTATCGCCACAGTGTAGCTTTCAAGCAATCCTGTTTACCTACAAGGTCCTGTTCCGCAGGTCCAGGAAGAGTCAAGCCATGGAAGATGATTTTGTTCACACAGCTCTAGGTCAGGTTCAGCCAGGACTCAGCCCACCAGCCTACAGCTTCCCACACTTGCTCCATCTCCAGTCTGTTTGGACTGTTTCCTCACTCTCAGCTTCTCTGATCTTTCTGCTTTTATGCAGACACAAAAATCTCCAGAGAGCAGCTAAATGGGTCATGACTAGTACATCTCCACACCTTTGTTTTGGATGGTAAAATCTCTCTGTACATGGAGTGTCTGAGCGTCACACGAAGCAGGTTCAGTGAATTTTCCCTCAAGTGATCCCAATGCCTTTAATCTGAATGACCATCTATGCAATCCAGTATTTATTAATCATAGCAGGTCCAAGAAATACTGCAGCAAAAATACCATTTCCTAAATTTAGGTATTCTGAAAGAATTTGTAAGTGCAAATTTTATTATAATGGGATACCAGCACATTATAATCTTTAATTAAAAATTGTATCCCTTTGTAATGTTTGCAGCTCTTTCACATGGCTGTCATCCAGAAACAAGGCAATGTGAGTTAATCTCCACAGAGAATGGGACATCGCATCCTGACATTGGTACACAGACGGGTTTTTTTTTTCAGTTGTCACATAAATATTTCACTGGCACAAAAAGTAATCAGCAGGCATAGTTTTGTAATGGATGACAGACTGGAAAAGGGAGCAGTTTCTGCTTGACAGAGCAGTCATGCTTCTTCAGATCAGCCTATAACTTGTGATAATATTGTGCTCAGAAATTTGTCTAGAAAAGGGATTCCCCAGACAGCTACTGATCAGGAGATCCTTCCTCATTTTCCACCTGAAACTGTGAACAAACTCCTGGGGAAAAAAGAAAAACAGAACACAACAAAGAAATGTGTCTAGTTCTTATTCTATAACAAGTCCAGTGTGTTTTTCTCTTCCTTCAGCAAGTGAGAGAAATGCTTTTACTTCTGGTCTCATTTCCCACCTGTACATATTAGAGCTGAATATCTGGGATAATTGTAAAAGCAAAATGAGACTTTTTGTAAAGCAGAAATATCCATTAATAACCACATTTTAACTCGTAGTAATATTGTGAAAAATCATGTGCTTCAAAGTCTGAAAAATTTTTAAGGGATTACATGCTGAGGATGGGACAGAAAAATATCAGCCAGAGTCACTGGTGTCCTCTGATGGCTTGCTGTTCGAGTAGCCTGTAAAATTCCCACTACTTTAAATGAAGGCATGATTTCAAGCTATAAAGATCACACCTACCTGAGAAGTATGCGTATGTTTTCACACAGAGTAAGTATACGTTCGGTGTGCCTTCCCCCACACACTGCACTTTCTACACTGCAAATCTCTGAGCAAAACCTGGTGCACAGCTTTCTGTAACCATGCACAGGCCCTGCACTGTTACAGCCAGTCCATGGTGCTGCCTCTGGCATTTCTTTCCTGAGGCTTTGCCTGATGCTCTTTTAATTTTTCACACCCTGGGAGTCCATCACTCACTTTCCTTGAGAGATCATTCCAGAGTTTAGTAGATTTTGCTAGGGCTTTGTTCATTCTAGATTTCACTTTCTTTAATTTAATTCTGTTCGTTACAAATATTTTTTTTTCTCTCTGGGTATTTTTTTTATTCCAGATAAAGTCAAACTACTAGCAACTAGAAATCAGTCTTATTCCTTAGCCAGAGAGACCTAATCTTGAGCAGGCATAGGTAATTGTGGATTGTATTTAGGGGTCCGCTAAAACTTTCTGCTTGATTAACCATCCCTGCAGGGATGACAATTGCTGTTACACATGAAAGTATCAAGCACAGAGCAGAGGCACAGCCCCTCCAGCAGTGTACAGGGTAGCACTGGTGGACTCTGAGAAAAGCTCTGTGCAGTCCCCTGGGCCGGGAGAGAAGAGGGAATTGCGTCCCAGCTCTTCAAAACACTGGAGACCAAAGCAGACCCATGAAATACACTGCTGGAGGGACCACAGTTAGATGATCTTCTCCCCAGACTATTGTATCCCACTACAGAAATAGGGAAATGTAACTACCTGAAATTAAATTTGTAAGAACAGGAAGGAATAGGTTATATTTTGATTTCACATTGGCTTAAACCAGTAATTGCTCTAATAATACTGTGGAATCAGATGGGCCTGAGCACCAGGTGAAGTAAAAGGCAGCTCAGGCTGAGGCCATGTATGCCACCAGGTTTGCTTTTACTTATTTAATTATTTTTTCACCAGTGACACTTAAATACCAATCCCACCAGTTACTAACAGAAGATTCAAGGAGCCTTTCCCAGCTGTTTTGGGCTGCAATCCCCAAA